TAATGTAAATAAAGATGTACTGTAATTTTTTTGTAATAAATCGACACATTCTTCTCAGGACTGTGCAGCTATTATTGTTTCTCTGAAAGAAAGACAGCTGGTTGTCAAGAAAATTACCCTGGATCGAAGGGTATCCACCCTTGGAAAATAACCAGGAAGTTTTAACAGAATTATCTAATGATGCAAGTGAAACTGAGAGTGATGTTATTTGTGGCAGTAGGAAGACTGACGCAATTCAGGAATATTCTGAAGATAACACAAGATCTAATGAAACATCCGAAAAGTAGGATACGAGAAGCTCTGTGTTCACTTATAAAAATGAATCTTTAAAAGGCATTAATGAAAACACAGACAACGACCCCCCCCCCAAAAAAAATGTTCAGATTTGAATCCACTTTCTCCTATAGATAAAAATGTGTCATCTCAGTATGAAAATGTAAATGGAGAATGTTCTAAATTAGATACTGACAGTTTCGAAACTGAAGTTCGTAAACATGTAAATGAAAGGAAAATAGATAACAATAAACCTCCTTTGAATGAAGATGAAAAATATGAAGATTTGGATTCTGCAATCGAAGACACATTTGTTAAACCGCCTAAAAGTGCCTATGTTAAGTAAAGAAAACTAATGTCATTGCTGAAAATAAACTTACCAACGAGAAGGATAAAACTGAACTTTACGAGGAAGAATTTTCTAGTAGTCTTTTCAGTGGTACGATAAATTTAATGAACCATCAGTTATAATGTTGCTGAAGTTCAGCAACCTGGTAGATCACATCGAAGCAGTTACCTCGGTGAAAAGATTAAATCATCTCCAAGCTATCGGAGAACAACTGTAAATGGGATTTAAAGAGTAATATCTTGGACTGCTTAAATAACCTAAACCTAGCGATGTTGATGCAGTTAAAAATAGTTTATAACTGGTTAAAACCAGCTAATGGGTATCATTTAAGACCTATACAGAAACTTTAGAAATTAATTGTAAGACTGAAGGAACTATCGAAGAAAGGAAAACTTTAATTCAGCATTTTGAAAAAAGAATGTTTTCTCAAATTGTATTGGAGAAACATCCATATAAATACTTTTCGTGAGAGTCGTTCGACCGAAGGAAAGACTTGATCATTAAGAACTTTTGAACACTTAATTTTGTTAAATGTTTGTAAAGCTGTCACTTTAGAAAGGCGGGAGGATGTTAGAAATGCTATTTCTGAGCCTTTACTTATTATTAAATTGTACGCATCCGGCAATACAAATTGTGTCAACGAATTTTGGAGTTCCGTTTTAGCTTAGTATGGGGAGACCGCCGCTAGCCATTTTTATAACTTGCTTTTATGTTAAATTTCTTTATTAGTTGTAGATAAATGTTAACTTTAATTTCATAAGATTCGAAGCTTGATTTTACAACGTCCGGATTCGAACCCGGGTTGAATTACTATGTTCAACGGTCTTAACCAATCGGCGATCGGTGGAAGTATATCCGGGAGAGAGAGAGAATGGTTTGAAGTGGAGGTAAGAAAAATACAGCTTAAAAGAAGATATTAGTCAAAAGGTAAAATCTTAAAACTGCAGACGAAGTAAGTTCACTTTCCCTTTTAGAAAAGCATCGGCTCTTTTTGCTCTTATATTAACAACAATTATGTGTTGTTTTTGTAAGTTATTATTAACAGGTAATATTCAAAGAATAGCTGTATATTTAATGTTAATTTAGGCTGTATTTTACAGTGGTCTTGCAGGTAGAATATTTACTTTAATTTTTATTTATTTACTGTAACAAGCACAATCGGGTGTAGTATCGCAAACACTGATTTTGCAAGGACTGGCATGTAATTAAATATCGACAAGATTACGATAGCGTCGTTGCTTTCTCACGATATTGGATTTTGATAGTCTTGGTCATTTGGTTCACTGAGTTTAAAAGAGAATCGGAATCGACTATATAATATTTAAGAAGAAAGTTATACATCGTTGTAATTCGGGAGCATTTATAAGATATTCTTGAGAAGGTTCTAGGTAACTGAAGATTCGCATTAATGATATGTATTCATTTGTGAATAAAATCCTTAAATACATGTTTAGTACATTTTTATTAACTACAAAAAGTAAAATAGTCTTTGAATGTTTACATGAGCATTCGACGAATGTACCTAATGTACACACATAACCTAATGGTACATAGAAAAAAACCTAATGTACACATATTACGTTGGCCAGTTAACGTGCTACCAGTTACACACCAAGAGCAAGCATTGGGGAATGCGATAATTTTTATAGCAAAATGATTGTTTAATTAATTTCTTTTTAAATTAAATACTAAGTTACGAAACAAATTTATTAAAATTGTCGAATTAAGCTAAACAAAAAATTCTTCAGTAGTAGGTTATTGAAGATTAAATTATGCAAATTGTTTATTGCTTTCAAAATCGTTAATTTATTCATTTGTTGATTTATTTAGAGACAATTAAAATTACTCATTTATATATAAAGATACATCGGATTTATTTCTTAAAAAAAAAATTGGTCTCTCCCTTTTTCTTTTACCCAGTTTTCGAAGGTACAGGGCTTTATTACTCCTACCCTTAAATACGTTATCGCTGTAATTCCTAAAAATTTCCAATTATTGTGAGAGGCAATTATTGTGTTAAGAGCTTAAATAATTTATCTTTTTGAAAATCAGCACGTAAACCGAGTTCTTTGGAATCGCCAAACGTCTCGTGGCGCCCTCTCGAGGATTTTATAAGAAGCAGGTAACCTTAGTTGAAAACTTCGTAATAAAAAGCGTTGTTATGTTTGTACATCAATGAGTGAAGACAAAACCAATCATCTGCATCAGAAATTGAATTGTTAGTTTCACTAAAATCCAAAAAACTGAATTTTTTAATGTTTAATAAAGACTCAGAATGTATTTATTTTATTTCTGTATTTATTTTTTTTTCAAATTGCAATGATTTTTTTTTTTTTTTTCAAATTGCAATGAGTTTTTTTTTTTTTTTTTTTTTTTTTTTTAAATCAGTCAAATAACTTATTTTTAAACGACTTTGAATAAATTTTTAAACGAAAAACAAGCAAACTTTTAATTGTATCTCTAGTCAAAATTTTTGAAACAAAATATCAGTTTTCTGCTAACTTAGAAACTACTCGTGATATATAAAATGGAAATGATGCATTGCATTTATGACAATATTGGTATTCTTGAATAAAAAAAAATTTCAAAATTTTTATTTTAAATTGTTTTTATTTTCCATAATTTACTTAAACAAGATAACACATATCTGCAATTATTAATTAATTTTTGTTTGTTTGTATTATTACGATTAACGATTTACGACATTTAAACGATTTAATTAATACTTTAATCAGTGTCTTATGGACGAATTTGGAAAAATTCAGATTTAAAATTAACTGTACTGTAGTTTAAACGCATGAGTACATCCCTCTCATAAAGCTATAAAGGCGTGAAATTAAAAATAAATAAGTTTAATGAGATCTTTCTTCCGATTGCATCACGATCTAAAATTATACAACGTGTAGTGAAGATCTGCTGTTATTGGCTTCCGTAATAAAAAAAAAAAAAAAAAAAAAAAGCGGAAAAGAATAATTTTTGGCAAAACGTAAAAGAAGAATTAACAATATTTGTAATCACATTACATAGCTATTAATGTAAACTATTATTTAAATTAGAAATTAATATATTTATATTTATCAAAGGGAGAATAGCGTTTAAAGGTGCTTAATTAATATCGTTATGGCAGCTTATGTTATAATGGGTTTCAGTCAGTTTCAGCTTTATATTTTAATAGCTTACATGCACTCGGTAATTTAAGTATGCAACATTGCCTCATAATTCAGACAGTTCAGGTGGAAATTTTTTCAAGGTGAAACTAAAATTAAAAAACATATTGACAATTCCATAATTTTGAATTAGCACCGACGAAAATGCAAATTTACCAAATTCAGTAAGTAATAAGGTATGCCGAATGTAATAACAGTTCCAGTTATTTACTTCATGGTATATTCTTTATGGTAATTATAAAAAAGAATATTAACAAAAAATAAAATAAAATTCTAATGCCATACGTGCACTTGTTCATTCATTCGACGATGAGATCCACTCTCTTTTTTCCTTGTCTTTATTTTAAAAATTATTTCGCGAAATTTTTCAAAAAGCAGGTAAGAAATTAAATTATGTTTAGATAAAATCAGCTGAGCTTTAGTCAGGCACACCTATTTAATTGTAGATCTAAGAATAGGGTTTGAAAATAATAAATTACAGCGCACTGCGCTGTAATCTATCATCACTTAAAAAAAATCTATCATCACTTAAAAAAAAAAAAAATGTAAACGAGAACATTGCTTTTGATTCTCTTTTATTTACTTCGTTTAAGAGTTTATTTTTTCTGGGCGTCCTTGTACTTGCTTTCATATTACTTTTAAGGTTGATTTCAGAAAGCAGTAAAATCGTGCTTTTATATACACACGAAGAATTTACGCACTGGTTTTTTTACGTCGAAGGAAAGATTTACGATAAGAAATATGAAAAAGCCAAAATATTGTGTCTTTTAATTTAATTACAATAATCTATGTTCATTATCTCCGCTGAATGACATTGTCCCAAACGAATACTTGATAACTGAAATCAGTATGTTGCAAAGCAAATAAATTACAACATCCCTTTATACTTTCCTTCAGTTTTAAAAAGAGTGAGTTTACTCAGAGATATTTTGAATACTCCTATCGCCTCTCTCTGAAATTTAAATCAGAATAAATATTAAGTCTCAATTAGTAATATTTTAATTAAAAAAATTAATATGAATCTAAAAATCGACGCATTTTTTTTTACTCGCCACAATCTGAATTCAATCATTTTTGTGTCCAGATTTATTCCCACTGAATTACTGAACTAATTATTGTAATTTCAATCAATTGTCATGTCATCGATAACTAACTTTAATAAAGATAGTATTTGCAATTAACTTTTTAATTTTATGTTGATATATTTTCAGGTCTGCTGATATCCGAGGGTCATGCGGGTCTTTGGTCCAGATGCTTTCGCATCTACGACAAAGTTCGTGAAAGTGAATGGCCTCAGTCTTATGAGTGTCTTAACAATTATAACACATCGAACGGATCTCTGAAATTTACATGTCAGTACTTCAATCTTTTACCTTTTTTTCCCCCTTTCATATAATTCCTCACAATGATGTTCTAATATGTAATTGTAATGTTATGGACTCAAAAATTACTGTTTTCCTTCTAAACAAAAGGATTTCTTTTAAACTGAATGGAAAAAAGAAATACAGCAGTTCCTTTCAATAAGGGACACCCACCGGATCAGACATTTTGTCCCTTAAATACACATGTCCCTTCTACTAAAAATTTTTTAATTTAAACAGAAATTCAGGGTGTATTAAGCTTTGAATAAATGATATATAAATAAGTAGAATAGTCACAGGTATTTATTTGAATCTGAAATTAATAAAAATTGAAAATTCTTAATTAAAAATTTTAACTATTGTCAAAATGTATGAAATGAAAAGAAGAGATTTTTACTTATAGAATTTATTGAAAATATGTTACACAAGTTTGTTTGAAAGTGTATGCACTACAAGCATTTTTTTTTCGTATGGATATTAAATACTCTCATCAATAATTATCATGAATATTTTTAATTGGGAGGCATATTTTAAGGTATCTGTGTAGCTTTTTATGTCACTCATTTCGTATGACTCTTCTTCGTCCTATGTCACCCATTTCGTATGGCTCTTCATCCTATGTCACTCATTTCGTATGGCTCTTTTTCATCCTATGTCACTCACATAATCAATTACAGTTGAAATAAAATATTTCATTCACTGTCGTCATTTGTGACTTCAGTGCACAAGTTTTCATCAGTTTCTAAATATTTTAGCATTTGTGCTGCCCCCGATTTTGACCAGTTCAGTACGCTGCATATCTCGCAAGCTAATCAGTTTCCACAAGCAGCTTAAAAAAAGAACATGCTGTAAAAAATAGTTTTCTGCAATGAGCTTTCAAGCCCCTACCTTGGTCAAAATACTGTAATACTGAGTGTTGCATTACGTGGAGAAAACACAAATTTCACTGATTTAAGTGTTATCTTTGGTTGGGTATCCTGGTGAATTGTCAAGAAATAGAAATCAAGAAATATCCTTTTTTTTTTCCCTCTAGACATTGTTATTAAGAGCTGTCAACCATTCTGACATTATGCTTTGAATCATCTTATAAATTATTCTTATTTGTTATTTCTTATTTTGAGTTAAAGCTCGAGTAGAGGCTGTCTGAAAGCCCGAGAAGGGGCCGACTGTTATTCTTATTTGAGTTAATAAAGGGTAATTTAATCCTTCTCGAGTATACGTCTTAGTTGTTCAAAACTCAGCGATAAGTCGCTACATAGTTCACTAAGTCCTCGACGTTCAAAAGGAGCTAAGGAGTTAGGGAGTTGACAAAAGAGAGTTAGGAATCCCACAGTCTTGTTTTTGAAGCTTTTTTTTTTTTTTTTTTTCAGTGTCCCTTAAAGAGAGGTCAATACATTAAGGTCGTCTCTTACAAGAGGAACTACTGTATTTTCATATACCTTATTTTTGATTTATTATTTTTTACCTGTTAATGTAAGTGTAGATCAACAGCTTATTGTTGCAGATGGTTCAATTTATAAAAAACATTCAATGGAGGACTCTAATAATTTACAGGCGTTGGCAACTGCTGAGGCCGGAAGATGAGGCACCTAATAGATGGGCCACCGTTGCTTCCTATGAAGGGACGAACATATTACATCCATGCCTTCTCCGCCCTCAGGGGACTCACTTTTGTGAGTACGAGTGTGGCAATCCCGAGGAACCCTAGCCCTTCAGGGGATCATCTTCTTGGTGAGACGGGTGTCACGATCCTGGAGCCCCAGTGATCTATCCTCTTTTCCGTCTCCTCTCCTCTTAACTGGAATTTTTTCCCTTCCCTTCTCCCTTGTGGTTTCTCTCTACGGAGTTTGGGGCTCGTCACGAGAAACTGGAACAACCCTTGCGTCCAATTTTCAAATGGCGAGAAAACTGCCCACGTGTTTGCCGTGCGTGGAGACCCGTGTCGCTGGAAAGGAGGGTCCTGGTAGTTGAGGGGCGAGGTACTGTCCCCAACACACTACTTTGGCCTCTGCTTCAGCTAAACGGGAGGCACCTTAGTCGTCCTCACGGGTGTCAATCGGCTGGTCACTAGTCCTTGTGTCAGTGGCTTGGGGTCAAGCTCTCGGGAGTACCTGCTTTCGGGAAAGCCGACTGTGGGGCTTCAGTTTGCGTATAGTTCCGGCTATCCCTAACGCAGGAATCTGTGTTCCCTTGTTGGGCTCCGTGGTGGGCGGGGCCGTCGGACCCGAATCTTATATTTTTCAATCATGGCTTCCTTATTTATTTAAAAAAAACCTGAAACAAACGACACGAATAAAGATATTGAAATCATTGACAAATCTGTGAGCAAGAAAATTCGTACCGATGCAAATGCCAAAGAAACTACAGAATGTCCTCGCTTTGTTGTTGTTACCAGTGCCTCTGAAGAATTTAAAAAGATGTCTCCTTTCTTAATAAACAAATACATTCATTCCTGCATAGGTGAGCCAAGGAACATAAAGCGTCTTCGTTCGGGAGACCTGCTTATTGATACCTTTTCGGCCACCCAGTCTGCTTCACTTTTACGGCAAACCAAACTTGGACAGGTCAGTGCACAAAACACTGCGTCAGCGCACAAAACGCTTAATTTCTGTAGAGGCGTGATCTCGGAAATCGACCTTCTGTGTGTGTTTTAGAAGAAGAGTTTCGTCTCCGAGCTAGCTGATCAAAAGGTTTGTGTTGCCAAGCGGATCAAGATGTGCGTAAGGAAGGTCAGTTGATTGACACCAAACACGTGATCCTGACCTTCAATTCGCCTGATCTGCCTGAAGAATATTAAGGCTGGATATCTAAATTGCCCCATAAGACCTTATATTCCAAACCCCATGCGATGCTTCCAGTGCCAGCGTTTTGGCCATTCCAAGATGTCCTGTCATGGGACCCTGACGTGCGCTCGGTGTTCGTCGGTTGGCCACGATAGCGATAAATGCACCGCTGCAGCACTGTGTATTAATTGCAAGGGGGACCATCCAGCATTTTCCCATTCCTGTCCAAAATGGAAATTAGAAAAGGAAGTCCAGACCATAAACGTTTCTAGGAACATTTCATATGCCGAAGCCAGGAGACAAGTTCAAAGCACACAGCCTCAAGTCAAACAAATCATACGCCGGCGCCGTTAAATCAACACGCACTATAGCCACTCAAACTTCCATAAGTACACAGACTCCACCAAATAAAACCCAGCAGCCTGAAAACAAGAAAAAGGAAAATCCAACCCATGTCATACAAAATAAAGAAATAACAATCTTGAGCAAACCAAAAACTGCGCCTCCAAAAATAGTATCCAAAAATAGAAGCCGATCTGCAGATGATATGAATTCTGAATCTCTAGATTCAGACGGTATGGAAGTGGAGGAGGGAATGGAAGTTCCCAAGCATCTACTTCCGCGCAAGACTAAAAAGGAACACAGAAAGAACAAATAACACCAGTCATAATGGCCACCCTCGTCTCATGGAACTGTCGCGGTTTCCACCGAAATTTGCTTGACATCAAAGCTATGATCAATACTTATCATCCTGTGTGCTTCGCAATACAAGAGACAAATCTGAAACCAGATCAACATGCAAAACTTCGGAGATTTTCTCTCGTCAGGAAGGATAACCTTGCAGGTGAGCGTGCCAGTTGAGGTGTATGTCTCCTCACCTCACTGGACTATCCCCCTTTGACGACTTCTCTCCAAGTTGTCGCTACTACAAAGTAAATTTTGATATTGTTGTTTCAGTCATGTTTCTTGTATTTGCCTCCAAATGAGCACATTGATCAGGAAGATTTAAATGATCTTTTAGAGCAGCTGCCTGAGCCCTTTCATCATAATAGGAGATTTTAACGGCCATAGTCCGCTCTGGTGTAGTAAAGATACAAATTGCCGAGGAAGACAAATTGAGCAGATGATCGAAGATCATAGCCTTTGTCTCCTGAATAATGGGCAAGGATACTTACTTCTCCATGAGCCTTCAAGGACATTTCACGCTCTCGACCTTGCCATCTGTTCACCATCTCTGTTGCCATTTTTGCACTTTTAGTGTGGGAAATGATCTTACAACAGCGATCACTATCCCATTTTTGTGTCTCTTGCACGAAGAGGAGCAAACCCCATGTCGAGATTCCCTCGATTCATACTCGATAGGGCAGACTGGGAACTCTTCTCTTCCATTGCAGAGCTCACAGATGAAATGGTAGAAGATGCGCATATCGATGATGCTGTTGAAGCTGTTACTAATACTATTATTCAGGCAGCTATGCTTTCCATTCCTAGAACATCAGGAAAAATACTGAAATATTCGAAACCATGGTGGAATCGCGACTGTCATGAAGCACTGAAAAAACAGAAAAAAGCATGGGGTATTTTTCGTAGATATCCTACTCTGCGAAACCTCATAGCATTTAAAAGAGCCAAAGCAAATGCACGAAAAGTAAGGAGGCAGAGCCAAAGGAATTCCTTGGATTTCATATGTGTCCGTCAATACAATCCTCTACGCCTCCACGCCTAGTAAGCGGGTTTGGGAAAGAGTTCGAAAAGCATGCGGAATATCGTATAAAGACCACTCACTTTCCTTTTTGGAAAAAGATGGCCGAGTGATTAGCTCCATAGAAGAAATTGCGAATACTATTCGGTGAGACATTTGCTGCCGTTTCTTCCAGCAGAAACTATTCACCTGCATTTCTCTCTATCAAGCAGCACTCTGAAATAAATCCCATCGCATTCAACTCTTCCAAATCTGAGCCTTACAATAGAGCATTTACTATGCTTGAATTAAAGAGAGCTTTATTGCAGACACATAGGTCTTCTCCGGGTCTTGATGGCGTGAATTATGAAATGCTAAAGCATCTGTCCTATAAGTCACTGAACTGCCCTTCCTCACTCTTTACAATAGAGTGTGGAAGGAGCGTATTTTTCTCAGAGCGTGGAGGAGAGCTGTTGTAATTCCTATTGCTAAGCCAGGGAAAGACCCAAGGTATCCATTGAACTATCGGCCAATTGCCCTTACGAGTTGCGTATGCAAACTGTTTGAAAAGATGGTAAACAGCCGCCTAGTCTACTTCTTGGAAAAGAATGATATTATATCGCCTTATCAGAGCGGTTTTCGAAAGGGAAGAACAACTGTAGATAACATGCTCCTCTTAGAGACATCTATTCGAAAAGCATTTGTAAGAAGAAGCCACCTTGTCTCGATATTCTTCGACATTGAAAAAGCTTATGATAAGGCATGGAGATACGGTATACTCCGGGATCTTCACGAGAGTGGCTTGCGCGGCAACCTACCAATTTTCATTCAAAATTTCTTGAACACTCGGATGTTTTTGAACAGGAAGAGGGTGTGCCTCAAGGCTGTGTGCTCAGTGTAACCCTGTTTAGTTTAAAAATAAACTCTGTACTAAAAGAACTTCCTCCCACCATCTTGGGATCTCTATATGTTGATGATCTGCAGATTAGCTGTCGAGGAGCAGACATGAGATACGTACAGAGGCAATTGCAGATGGCTCTGAATAAGATCCAAGAATGGTCAAACAAACAGGGATTTACTTTTTCGAAACAGAAAAACTGTGTGCGTGTTCACTTTTGTAGGAAGCGAGGTCTCCATCCTGAACCTGAGTTATATCTGAATGGTACAATTATTCCAGTTGCGCCTCGAAGTAAAATTTTTAGGAGTGACGTTCGACCAGAAATTGACTTTCCTTTCTCATGTTTTAAACCTGAGAAAGAAGTGTCTAAAAACACTAAATATTTTAAAAGTGTTGGCGAACACCTCCTGGGGTGCAGAGCGTTGCTCCATGCTTCGCATTTACAGAGCGCTCGTCCGCTCTAAACTGGACTATGGCTCAGTTGTTTATGGATCCGCTCGGCCATCAGTATTGTTAAAACTGGATCCTGTTCACCATCAAGCTCTGCGCATTTGTTCAGGAGCTTTCAGGACCTCTCCCGTCCAGAGCCTGTATGTTGACTGTAATGAACCATCACTTTATCTGAGGCGTGAAGCAATTGTCCCTTTTGCAATATTTTAATATTCTATCCCAACCTGAACATCCCAATAAGCTGTGCTACTTACTGATGATGTGTGTAACGCGTTATTTGAAAACACGTCCATCCTTGTGTTCCTACATTTCCTTTTAAGAGTTCGCCCTGTCATTGAGGAACTTTCCCTCTCTGATATGCACCCCCAAGCAGTACAGAATTTTGAAATTCCACCTTGGGAAAATGCACGGATTCAGCTTCTTGATGTTTTTAAGTATCATATGAAGGCAAGCACTAACGAGATTATTTACAGACAACTCTTCTCTGAGCACAGGAACAAATATAGCAGTTATCTTCCAGTTTATACAGATGGGTCAAAGTCAAAAGATCATGTCGGGATGGCATTTGTAATTAAAGACCACATGGAGGGCAGACGCTTGCACAATGATTTCTCTGTCTTAACATCTGAACTAACTGCGATATATTATAGTCTTTTGTACATCTCAAAGGCTCTGCCTACAAAAAGTTCATAATTTATACAGATTCGTATAGTGCTCTTAAATCATTAGAAGCTTTTCCTAATACTCAAAATCCAGTAATAGTGGATGTTCTCAAAATTACATATAAATTTAATGAATCGTGGATATGAAATCCTGTACTGCTGGGTTCCCGGGCATGTGGGAATAAAAGGGAAATGAGCTTGGCAGATATCACAGCAAAATCTGCTGTTGAACTGTCCAGTCGTCTCATCCCTTTTAGAGACATCTGTTGCGTGTGTGAAACAAGGGGAAGATCCGAAAAAAATGGCAGCAAACTTTGGGATGTTCAGCTTCAAAATAAATTAAGACATGTAAAACCTAGAATTGAGCACTGGGAATTAACCAAAATCGTAAGGAGGAAGTTCTTTTGACTCGCCTAAGAATTGGTCACACTAGAGTGACACATAACTACCTTTTAAAAGCTGAAAATGAGCCTGTTTGTTTTAACTGTAATGTTTGTTTATCTGTTCGTCATATTTTAATTGAGTGTCCATGTTTTAATAGTCTTCGCCAGAAATATTTTAATAGTTGTGACTTACCTCTCGACCGTTTAATCGGAAGAGAGGTCAATTGTTTTTATTTTATTATTTAAAAGAGATTGGCTTTTATTACCAAATATAATTTGTTTTGAAGACTGTGTCTTGAATTTTAATATGTGCTTTTAATTTGTTTTTATATGACTTCATCCTCTGGATTTGGTACATTTGTCTACTTGTTTATTTATTGAGTGAAGTCATGAAGTCATGAATTGTAATCATCCCATCTCGTGTTTGGCGCGCTATAATCATCTTTGGTTTTTGCGCCATAATCTCTCACTCACTCACTCACTCACTCACCCCATGCCTTCTCCGGGATTCGAACCCGTGCCCTTCGGTACGGCAGTCAGCGTCACTAATTACTTTCCCGTCTGGGCGCTAGGTTAAAAAATGCATAGCCTTAAAACTTCAAATCGACTGATTATGAACTTATAAACAGTGTTTTAAATTTTACTTAAAACATCTTCAGAATTTAATATTTCACCACTTTTCAATCAAGTATATTTGATTGAAAGGTGTTAAAAGTAACAAAATCATATCTGCTTCCGAAAATATCAAAAAATGCTTTCAATAAGCCACGTAAATCTTAACACGAACAGTCATGTTTTATATTAAATTATTTACTTAAGGCATTAGTCCTCTGAATCTGCAGTGAGTGTCGGTTAGGAAATATGCAAAATATTTTATTAAACTGAAGTGAAACGAGTTCTAAAATGGCATCAAGTAACTCAAAGTGTGCTAAATAAGTTTAAACTTGAATTTTCTTCAAATAATATTTTACTTTGCTAATAGAGTATAAAATACTATTAAATCTGCAAATTTTTAATATACAGATCTGCAAAATATTTAAATACACATATCTATCAATGTTTGAAACATTGAGAGAAGTAAAGATGACAGCTGTATGTCAAAATAAGTGTTATTACTAATAAAAAGACGAGTTCCTGAATTTAATTCTGTTGGATTTAAAAAAAAATCTTCAAACAGAAGTTTTGAAGGGGGGGGGGAATACTTTTGCGCTTCAAACCTATTATAAGTAAAAAGCAGAAATCTTAACTGAAATTATCAAGGGTAAAAGGAGACCAAAAATCGATCGTCTGCGTGAGAAAGGGCGCAGTTCCTAAAATCGATCGCGATCAAGATAACGTTACAGTATAGCCAGCAAATAAATGTTGCTTTCTACAAAACATCAGCAACAAGAATCACCCGTAAAGCAATTTGTTTCCAAATGATTAATAAATTATTTATGATATAAAGAACCCTAAACAGAAATGCTAAAAATTTTTAAAAAAGAAAGACAAAAACAAAACAACAACAACAAAAAACAAACTTCAAAATGTTCGGTATTCCTCTTCTTTTCGTTGTTTTCTAGTTTAATCCGCATAGAAGCATTATTCTTCGATAAAAGTATTGTCACACAAATTTCATGTGAAAGCTGGTTTGAAAGCTGAAATAACCTCAGAAGTATTAATTGTAACAATAATCTTAGGCAAGAGCAGAATCTCCATAGCTTTTATTATTTTTTTTTAATTAAAAGAAATGTAAATTGTCCGATGTAAACTGCAAATTTACTTTAAATAGTTTCATTTATCACGGAAAGTATTAGTACATGTGCTCAGTATTTAATCCCTTCTTTCTTCCAAAAAATTTTTTTAATATTCTATCTTACTATTATGTCTTACTTCTATTCATACGGGATTTAAAGCTTTAAACACTTTCAAGATATATTACATCGTTTATACCTAAATTACTTGAATGTAAAACCTACGAAAGATCGAAGTAAATATATTTTGATAACTGCAACACAAAATTTAATATTAAACAAAAAGGCAACCATAGATTGTTGAAAAACTCTGTCGATTCAGATGGCCTTTGAAATTGGTAGACTTTTATTTTAAACTTATGCCAATCTAAGATTGCCTTTTTGCTTAATTTGAATGCTGATTATGCCTCAAACTAATGAGTAACTGTGTATAAGTCTTACAAGCGTACAAAATGCCGTTTTAACATATTTTTGTGATGATTCAGAAAAATCCTTGAGTGTTAACTTTCCTGTCCTCAGGCTATTTATGTGAACGCAGATTAATTTTGTGGTTACGTGTAACAAAATTTACTTAAGTTTATATTAAAAATGCATCAAAGAAATTTATATATTTGCATATATATTGCAATAATAGTTAGCAATATTCTTATGCTAACTATTATGCTGGATATTACGTTTCATTTAACTAGATAATATAAAACTACATATAAAATTGTTGTTAAATTTTTTCTTCATCAGTTTATGCCTTATTCATATGCATCCATTCCGTATGAAAACATTTTCTTTGTCAATTGAAATGCGAGAATATTTCTAGTTAGTGTCCTAAAACTGAATCCAGGCCGCATTTATGAAATGTGAAATTGGTAATTTTTTATCATAGCGAGCCGAGGATGCAACGGATGAGGTTCTTGCCTCGGGTAAAAAAATGTGAGGGACCTAAAATTAAAATTTAACATTTTAAATACTGATGTAATGCAGTTCTGAAATTTCCTTTGGGTGTTAATATCTGAAGTTAGGGTTTTGTTCCGTACTAAGTGTAATTTAAGTTTTGGATGGCATTGAATTATAAGAGCATTTAATATTGTGATAAACACGAATGTTTTTATTATTATTTGCAGTTGGTAAAGCTTGCAAAACTGCAACTGCTGCTCTGTGTGTTGGAGATGCGGCACTTATCATTACGATCTTGATAATTATGTTAGTCGCTGCATTTAAATCAAGAAGTTCAGGAAGTTTAGTCAAAGTATCACTATCACTGATTCTTCTTCAAGGTAAGAATTTTTATATATATACTTAGTTTAAAATATATTTAATTACCTTAAACCAAATTTATTTTATTTTTGCTTAATTTATATTTATTGTGCATGAGTTAACTTATATTTATTATGCAATTCTGAAAAATATGGGATAGATTCAAGAAATTTTGCTTTATTGCAAAGTACATAAAATATAAATTTTTATACCTTTTCGAAATTTGAGTTTTTATTATTTTGCAGATTATTTTAATCACGAAGCTCAAAAGGTATTCAAAGTTCATTTTAGAGTTCATATTAGAGCGGTCGTGGCTCAATCCAAGACAATAAAACCACTCCAGAAATTCTTCGGAGGATAGAGAGGCAGGGTTTTGGTTAAGGGTTTGGTTTGGTTAATGTAACACTAAGGTTTTAATTTAACTGATCAGCTTTTTTTGAAGTTCTATACACTTTTGAAGTTCTATTCTGTATTATTTGCTTGCAGCTGAAACTTATTGAACTTGCAATGAAAATTTCTAAATGTCACAGAATAGGAAATATGTGGTAACTAAGTTTTTGAATGTGTTTTGCAAAATGTAGGAAATTTTAAATTTTAGTATGATTCCCCTCCTAAATGCATACGGTCCAGTGTTCTTTCATTTACTTATAATGTTTTTATCACTTCTTATTCCTGTTTGTTAAACATAAAAATCTAAACGAAATATTATTTAATATTCTTTTCTAACGTACCAATTTAAGGTATTTTCTTCTCAAGTAGTAGTTGTAAACTAAATGTATTTCCTTAAAAACTGTTAATATTATATGCTGACTTGATAAGCTAAAAGGCACAGTGAGGGTTACTAAACAAAACTGGGGGGGGGGAAGTGAAACATGTCAATAAATGAAAGTTTTTTTTATTTACTTTTGGAAAGAGCATCAAAGTCTATCGAAACAATCCCTAGAACTATAAAATAAAACTTACGAGTAAAATTGAAAAATCAGTTTTTTCATCGACGTTTTGCATTGCTCTAGACCAAGGGTGTCAAACCCAAGCTGCATGCGAGTCTGGAAACAACCGAAGAGCCAGAATTTAGTTTTTTCCTACAAAATGAAACTATTTTATTAAGAAAATAAAAAAAAAATATTTTAAATTTCGCTTAATGAATATTTATCAAAAAGTGACATAGATAATAATATCATAAAGGCAAAAAAACCCAAATTTATATGTCTTTTTTTTTTTATCTGAAATCGAAATTTTGGTACTTTCAAGAGTATTTGTTGGTTACACTTTGTAGTTCAAACATACTCAAAGCTAAATATCATAATCTTAGATTGACATTCAAATAATTCTAGCATAAAATTAGTATCGCATCAGCCTTGAGTTTGGCGTAGATTTAATCAAGATCTCAATCGATTTCCAGGACAAAGAAGTGCAGGACAAAATTCCAGGACAAAAAACTACTTTTTTTCAGAGCAAAGAAATCTGCTGACTGACCTTTCTCATTTCTAGGATCTTGAATTCTTTAAATAAGTTACTTAAATTTAAAGTAAAAGTAAAGAAATTATGAAAAATTTCTTACGTTTTCAGAAAAACTTTTTCAAGTGGGACAAAACTTGGGAGTAAATAATGACAACCTAATCTCTCTCTCTTAAATATATTTTTTTTCCAGGCATAAATCAAAATACATATGCTTGTATGCAAATAATTACAAACTCTTTATTTCTCACAGCAGCTTGGCACTTGATGGTATTTGATTCTGACAAAGTTTGTAACCTTGGAGAGAAATTACTGAAAAATTATCTTTGTCACGACTGCAGATGGCAATCGGTCAGTCGGGTACACTTTTTATTAATTTTCGACTGTGGAAAAAAAGGTGTTTTCATATAAGTGTACTCTCACACAAAAACGGTTATTCTTTGTGCCATAATTTCTTTAGTTTTTCATAATTTCTTAAGTTCGTACTTTGTAGAGACATTAGGATTTTGTTTTTGGAAGCAGGCAAGATGAAAAATGAGCAGACGGGAACCGAACCACGGACCTCTGGAATACCGGCCCAGCGTGCAGAACCACTACACTACGAAGGCACACTAGGAAGACGGGAAAAATACCTTATAACTTGAGCTTTTTTATTTTTTGACAGATTACGAATAAAAGTTAATGAAATATCTATCTTGAAATCTTTGAATAAGATTAAAAACGCATTGTAAATTAATTAACTGCATTTATAGACTTTTCTGGCGTATTTTTCAAGTTCGTTTTTAATGAAGGTTTCCCAACGGGGTCGGTATTGAACTCTTGGAGTTCGATCAAATTTTAAAGGAGGTCGACAACAGAATATGAACCGACAATTGATCGGCATAATCAAAATCCAATTACCAAAAAAGTTAAGAAAATTTATAATTAATTATCTGTTATAAAGCTGTATCATGTAATAACGAAGAAATCACATAAAATAACTGTAAGGGAAAAGTACATTAAAATTATTTAGTAACTTTTAAAAATCAATAATTTTTTTAACGTAAAATTATTTTATGCCATGAGTGCAATATAAAAAAGTAAAACTTATGAACACAAGAAAACACAAACAAAAAAAATACGAAGAACAGAAAAATGGAAAAGTGGAATGAAAAACAGGAAACAGGTAAAATATATAATTGATAATAATTGATAATAATTAATAATAATTAAAATTATCATCGTTAATTCATAATTACACAATTAAAGCTATCGTTAATTAATGATAATTAAAACTATAGCCATGAATTTGTAAAGTGCTGAGTCACAGTCATGAGCAGTACTTAGAGTTACAGTCATCACAGTCATGAGCACTTTTGAGTGCCTACGACTGTGATGCAGGCCAGTGGTGCACTGATTGTCTAATAAATAGAATCTTGGATGTCTTTTTTCCGAAATGTTTCAAGTACACGCAAGCCGCCAGTTACGTTTATTACACAACCTTCTCATTAAACGTAAAACTACAGGATAGGTTAATAAAATAAATTTTTTTGTAAGTAAGTTTATGCACAAGTAAAAATTAGATAACCTCTAAATAATTAAGGTATTTTACTTCATATATGTCGCAGTCAAACATTATCATAATATCACTGCAGGGATTTAGCAAAACCGACGTAATATGCGGAGGAGGATTTAAATTAGTGTAATTATAATAAAGTTGTACAAAAATGTAAAGATAAAAAATTAGGGTTTTAAAGTATATTTTGATACTCATTTTATAATTTTAAATGTTTAACAAATAATTTAGTATAACTACTACGCTTAAAGCTAAGAGTCGGTGACACCGCATTTGAAAATTCTTTATGTACTTTATAATTTACATATACTTTATAATTTAATATAAATTCTTTATATACTTAATAATTTACATATAACATGGCTCAGAAATTTGATATTAAAAACTCATTCGAAGTTACTGTTTACAGTTTTACTACTACTAAGATTTCTTGAGTACTGAAACTGCTAATGGAAGTGCCTGAAGTTTATATAAATGGGACTGACTCTATAATAGTAATATGACAAATCTGACGCTGTTTGCAGTAAATGTAAACAAACTGTAGGTACTTGGTCAGTCCTCTGAAAATATGGCACTATTCTATGGTGACCTTGTGCTCGGTTGATCTTATAACGAGGTTTGACTATGTTTAGAATCTGATCGTATTTACGTGATTTATATTTATTATATTAGTGCTATATTAATAAACATTTTCGGAGAATTTTCTTTCATTCAAATAGCGTTCATGAAATTAAAAAAAAAAAAAAATTAAATTCTTTTCCCTAGTTGGTTTACTTGTCTCTGATGACAAAAAAAGAATTTTAATAAAGGAAATCCGGAAATATTAATCACGTTAAATACAAAATGCAACAAAAACATAATGCAGCAAACTGGCGTCAGTAAGCGTTGGAGAAGTTCCAAATTTTGAGTCTGGACCAAGGATATCTCCATTATGAAAAGAATTTCAAAGCCTTCATTGACTTAAATACACTTATCTGTATGATCAAATCAAGTATATAAGTTATTCGTTTACTTGTAGGAGCCAAGTCTGCTTAGCGGCGTTGAGCTTGTTAACTGAAGATCGTTCGTTCCATTCGAAATGAACAGATATCAGTTATTTTCTCTTTCGATTGCCTATTTTACCTACTAATTTTTTACCTATTTGGTGCTAACTGTTCTTTAGCAGACGTGTTAACTGAAGTGCTTATGCCTGTTTCGAAGTTTTGTTTTCATATTAGCAGCAATTTACTATATCCAATATATTTGGATACCAAATTTGATTAAGCAGAAGGAAGTATTTTTCTCCCTGATATGCGGAAAGGGCATGCTGACTTCAGTTCCACACATTTAAAATAATTTGTAAATTTTATTCTTAAGAAATGCATTTATTCTTTGATGCTCTAAAAATACCGAAGTGCTCACAAAATGTTCTTTGGTTTTAAGCTATGAGTTTAAACTGTTGGTTTCAGTACTGATCACACCCAGTGCCAGCTGTTTGTGCAACATGTGCTTATAAATGTGTGAATATTATTTATGTATTGAATGGAGGTCCGAACATTTTACATAATACTAAAATCTCAGAGCGCATTTGTGAAATATTTTGTAAATATTTAATTGAATTTAACTAAATCTCAGCCTTGAAATTTATTATTGTATCTGGGACAAAACAGCACGCAGCACTAATTTTATATGTGTGCGTGTGATTATGGCAAAGCCTCGAGGGCTATCTGCCTAAGGGAAGGGATGCCTTCGTGGAGGATTTCTTAAGGGAAACTGGCTCGTATAAACGTTACACATGGGGGAAACCAACTAATTTTATGGGTTGTAGGGTTTTTATTTATTTTAACTAACATTTATTTTAAGTTTAAACTATCTTTCCTGTCAATCCTTACTTTCCCTGGAACTGCCATGCCAGAATATGTAAATTGAGTAGAACGCGCAAGCATTCAAATTATCAGCGGAAGTAGTTATATTTAAATAGAGGAAACAAGTTTGAGTGAGAGAGAATTATTCTTACTTAGCGAGCGC